TCCGTGGTAAAGCGCGTTCAGAATACGCGAAGTGGGGGAAGGCGATGGATCACTTACCCCAAAATCAAGACCCCGCCCGCGTCATTTCACATCAGCCCCTCATCGCCTGTGTCGCCCCCATATCATCCTTACAGCAATGTGACCCTTGCAGAAGTAGAGAATAAAGGGTTTACAAGCACAAGGCCGCGCAAAAGCTTCCTTCCAAACTTGGACTCGCGCCAGCGTCTTCCACCCCCAGGCATTGCTAAACTATGGCCCAGGTGTACCGAGACTGTCAGGCCCCGCTACCACAACGCTTGCTCCACATTTGTCGGAACTACCCTACAGCCGCTCACCATCACCCCTCTAGCTTGATACTTGCTGCTTTGCCAGTCTTTGAACAGAAATGTTCTTCTACGTGTGTTTTCAATGAGTTGTCTCCAGAGACTTGAGGACTCTTTGGCTTGTTCTACAGGTTACTGTACCCACTAGGTCTCGAGCGTCAAGTGAAGAAGTGTGGCAATAATACATGCATGACATCCCTTAGTGACGAATTATTTTGCGTCACTTTTGTTTCCATCCTTCATGCCGTCGCCGTCTCCCTCTATGACTGAATCTTGGTCTCCCAACCGCCTTCGGCTTCGAAGATTTTACCGACCGTCTTGCCAACCTCCAAGAGGTGACGGTCGCGATATCGTGGTGCGACGAGGGAGAGGCCGATGGGCATGCCGTGGTCACCCTTAAAGCCAGGTACATTCAGAACTGGGACATGAAGGCCCTACACCATTGTTAGTCATGGTAAGATTCGTAGAAAGTTTGTCACTTGCACTCCACATCGCGCAGAAAACGTGGCTTCCTGTGCTCTCCAGACCAACGGGGGCCTCATCCGGTACACTCGGCGTGATGATAGCTGCATACTGCGAGGCAATACAGTCGAAGACAGGCCTCATGGCAGCTAATTTGTCGCTAGCCATCAGTTGCGTCTTGCGAGTGAAATTGTTGGAGTTCTTGACGTGCTCAATCAAGACTTGGCCGATTTGGTCTCTTCCAACTCTATACTCGGCTAGGAAAGAAGTACGACCCTCGGTGTGAAGCCCAATGCGATACCACTCTGGTACGTCATTGAACTCCTCAGGCAGGCCAATTTCCTCAACCTCTGCCCCGTGAGATCTGAGAAGATCTGCAGCGCGGGCGAGAGCGTCTTGGGTCCCAGGACCAGCCTCGGGCCAGACAGCTGTCTTGCAAATCGCGAAGCGTGCTCCTTCGATGCCTTTGAAAGCATGCTCTTCATCCTTGTCATCCCGGAGCTCGAAGATGTCGGCCAGAAGGACGAGGTCGCCAACACACCGCCCATACCATCCAAGAGTATCATACATCAGAGCGTATATTTTCTGGCCCTCGCGAGAGACGGAGTTCCAGGTTGGTTTGAACCCATATATGCCATTGAACGAGGCCGGACGAATCATGGATCCGCCTGTCTGTGTGCCAAGGGCCATAGGAGCTTGGAAATCGGCAACAGCAGCTCCGGAGCCGCTAGAAGATCCGCCCGGAGTGCGTAGGGGGTCATGAGGGTTATGAGTTTTGGGGCCGACATGGATGGCAGCGAATTCGGTTGTAGTTGTTTTGCCTAGCCTGTTAGTTGCAAGTGTGCAAAGCGTATATAGAACATACCGAAGATGAGGGCACCAGCATGGCGAAGGATTCGTACGGAAGCAGCATCTGCCTCAGGGAAATGGCCATCATATAGTGGCGAGTTGAACTGAGTAGGCATGTCTATACAACAGTAAGCTCTGGTAATAGTGGGATACGAGTTGGTCAACTTACCTTTGGTGTAAATGACATCCTTCACAGCGATTGGAAGTCCATGGAGAGGTCCTCTATTGTTCTTAGGGATCCCATCTAGACGTATTGCTTCCTGCAGGACCCTCTTCTCGTCCAGGTATGCCCAAGCTTTGACGTCTTCATCGCGTGCCTTGATTCTTTCAAGTAAAGACTCGGCATACTCTTGAACTGACATCTCATCCGCCTGGATCTTCCCAAGAGCTTCAGAAGCCGTAAGTTTCCATGGCTCGATGTGGTTTTTTGGCGACGCCTGATTGTTCATAACGCTGGCTTTCCTTCAATTTTTGGGAAGGGATCACCAGTCGAAGGACGTTACAGTTCTTGCGGTGTCTTGATGGAAGTAGACGATGGGTCTCACAGACTGTAAGCTTGACTTTCTCAATGGATGTGGAGATCAAGCTGGGGACTCAGGCATACGAGACAAAGACACAGTTTGGGGAATGGACCCTGTTGTATAGGCACTGAGCCGTGAGCTAGAGTGGGGATGTATCCCAGTTCGACTCTGCTGAAACACATGAGCACATCGTGCAGCATGAGATGGCACTTCTAATCAAATCTGTTGGGAACAACGATGCACGCCGTCTCCAGAATGGCCTAGGTGATTTTGTAATGGTGGCATAGCATATCTTGCAAAAGTCCCATCGATATGCATCCGACGCTTCCAATGCGCCAGATAAACTTGGATTAAAAGGTAGAAAAAGCAAGAAAGTTCAAATGCCATTGGACATACGTGCTTATCCCGTTCCTCGCGTCCCATGGCGATGGCGGGGCGGAGAGGGGTTTTAATGCAGAGGCGTCTACGACATTCAATCACGTGGCTTGTTGTCACTTCTCTAGCTGACTTTGCATGGATGTCCTCCTCCAAATTCACACCACCATCATGGGCGTCTCGCGTCGGATGGCCGCGCTACCGACCCTTCATACACTACATCTCTAGGTCTTGCCTAGCTTCATTCATATTACTTTTGACGCCCAATAATAGCCAGATGCTTCTTGCCCATCGCAGCGAACGACTGCCCCATACAATTACCTCCTCAATTTGGTCCTTGATCATCTATTCTAACAACGATGACAGGACACCATCCATCACTGAGTATACAAACAGCTTGCGACCTTGTGCCTCGTCGAAGTCGATTATTACAGCATAGCCCTCAAGGCAGTTGAGCACTATCTTTGGAAATATCACTTTTCTCATGCAGCCAGTCGCCAATCGGTCTGGTTGAAAGGCCAGGAAATTGTTCGCATTGAGGGAGAAAGGAGCGAGAGACAAGATACACATTCAGGGACGCAGCCGAGCTTGCAGCACCGGGAGGATCCCGGACGTTGTCAAAAGAGCTAAAACTGCTCCGAATGTGCAGCTACCTTTCTGCTTGACATATTTGCTGGTATTTTCATCACTGGGCGTACTGATCAACTCATCGAAGGAGTCGTTGGTTACATTAAAATGACGAGAAAAGCTGACACCCCCTCTGTACCGAAGCGCAGGTAGAAGCAGTGAATCCAGCCCAGAGCACCAGACCCGCGACAATCCCGAGACGAGTTTGCGATGTAGACGGACGGACGATTGTACCAATCCATCACTCCGACATATTGTCAGACGAGAGTGTGACTTCTGTTGTACACGCATTCACCAAAGATGACCCGATAATCACCTGTTCAACACATTGGGCTCACGCCTACGAAACTCAATGGCAAATTGACACCAATTGCACAGCAGGATGAACAAATCAGTCGAAGGGCTTGGTTAGCATAAACTGAAAATACCAACATGAGATTCGCTGGGACGAAGTCATCATGCTTGGAGATGGAATATCGCATATACCTGAGGTCCAAAAGGAAGAGACAAGAACTGTAAAGGGGGAAATGCACAGCCAATACATCGTGGGCAGACCGTTCTCGGAGCGAGCTCTCGCGGAACCGTCAATTGTCTGAAGCTAAAATTGCTTGGAGGACAGGAACTTGGCCCATTGCCGTACTCAGGAGACATTAGCGACTTGGATTCTTTGCCAGATAAGAACGCGGTTGGACGATCGTACATCGACGGAGACTAACCTAGCAGGCGTGAAACTCGACTGCGGGTCCAGGCACGTCGGTCACAGAACAAACCTATGAGTGAACGGTACTTGATGTCTGGTTACAGCAGGCTCAAGCAGCACCCTTGTCAGGAAGGAAATGTCAATACAAAGCTACAAACAGACTGAAGAGGTCATCTCAAGCCATAGCACCAGTCTCAAACATTTTCGGTCCCCTGAATAGTACGCTTATAAATAGCCGCCATGAAAGCTACACTTTGTTGACCGGAATCCGTACTCGATACCTTCAAGGGCTTGAAAAATTGAATGAGGGAGGAACTGAACGCGATGCTACACGTGTCAAACGAAGTTCCCGCTTGTCTTACAGAAGAGGACGGTAGGGAAATGGTATGGGTAGAGTCAGAATGGAACAAGTCTATATGAAGTTATGGAGTTGTCAGCGAACGAGGAGTAGTTACTATTGTAAATACGGAATGAGCATGTATTTATTCCCTATATCGTTAAATGATTTGGGTAATAACCTTCACAAACGCACCGATAGCTCCTCAAATGTATATCTCGCGATGTGTGAAGGTCCGTCGCCAACACGAACACCTTTGCTTCTCCTAAGAACAATCCAGTCTTGCTCTGATTCCTGTTGCCAGGCCTCACAGCCCATTCCTCGGAATAACCATAAATGGATCCTTCGATCACCTGGACATCGCAGGCTTTTAGTCATGGTTATCATGAGCGTCTACCATGGCTTATATGAGCTATTGCGCCGCCAACTCGACCTGTGTACCAGTAGCTGGCATTACGCATTTCCAGGCGATGGGTATGCTAACGAATATTGGTGTCGAAGAGCCGACTCTGGTTGTGAAAGTAGAATTGACGTGGATGTAACTCTTTTTGAAGCAGTATTTTTTCAGCAGATAGTATACTCTTCAGTGTCTTTGCTGTCCTTGCTGATGTCCAGAGATATCTCTTGCCCCTTGGTGCCACCCTGGTTTATCTCGGAAGCAGTTTTATCGTTAGATCGTCCACCGCCCGCGTTGGACTGAGCGTTGTCGAGATCTGCGGCGCCCTTGGAGCCCATGCCGCCCTCTAAAAGCTCTCCGCCTTCCATGACTGTGCGGAGCTCGAGGTTCTCGTCTTTGGAGTACACGCGTACGCCGACGATGCAGATGGCGTTCCAGGGCTCGGGCATCTTCTCCTCGTCAGAATCAGTCTCGCTCTGGACTCGAGACCTTTTGGATATCATACGTCTGGGGTCGCGACTATTATCATCGCTACTGAAAAGCCTTTCATGATCGTCAGCTGGAGAGGCTGATGACTCGCCTGCAGAGTCGTAGGCAGGTCGAGGGCGGGTGGGGAGAGGCTCTTCTTCCTCGATGGGAGCGGGAGGTCCTCCACTGACTGGTGGGACCTCCTGTTTCTCTTCAGCACCCTCAGCTGTTGAGTCCATGGGCTTGGGAGTCGAGTGAGGTGATCCAGTTGAGACCGAGATAACCGCGTCGTCATGATCCTTGTGGTGCTCATCAACGACAACAGGCTCATCCTTGTCCTCTGAAATCTTAATCTCCTCAGTCTTCTTGCTCAAAGCCTCATCATCAGCCTCTTGAGCCCTCTTCTCCGCTTCCGTAGCCTTCTCAGCCTCAGCCTTAGCAATCCTCTCCTTTTTCATCTGCTCGCGCTCAGCCTTGACCTTGGCGTTGAACTCCTCATCAAGACGGTTCTGCTCAGCCTCCCACTCTGCGCGACGTCGCTTTCTCTTGTCCGCGTTCTTCTTGGTCTGTTGCTTGGTGACGTCGCGGATGGTAGCGCGCTTCTCCCACATGTGGCGACGCTCCTTCTGGCGACTGGCGGAAGCCTTCTTCTGATCCTTCTTCTGGCGAAGCTTGGTGACCTTGTCCATGTGGTTCCAAGCCTTGCTGTGGGCTAGATCATAGGCATAACCAACCTGCGCAAGCTTCTCATTCTCAGTCCTGTCGGCAGTCTCGCGCTTGACGACCTGCTCAACAGATTGACCGTTGGAGTCTCGCTCGCCAGTGACCTTCAGGTAGACGACGTAGTTGCCAGCGGGAATATCAGGCAGCTCAACAGAAACAGAGCGCTCCATGAGATAATTACCATGAGATCGGACAATGTAGTCCTCCGCATCGGGGCTGTTCTCGTAGTGAAGACGGAAGTGAAGACGGAAGGAGTACTGTCCTTGAAGACCCTTAAAATACCGACCATCAAGCTGCGAAAGAACCAGTACAAGGGGAGAGTCCTGGGTCAACTTGATGTGGAACTTCTCATGGTAAGCCGCCTTCCACGGAACATCAACACCAATCCAGCGCTGGCAGCATCGCCAGTCTCGATCGCGGAAGAGTCGAGTACGGTCGAAGTGAGAATATTTCCGAATAAGATCCTCGTAAGAAATCCAGAAAACAGAGTCGCTACCAAACTTGTGGTCCATCTCCTCCTGCACTTCGGTAGTCCACTCCTTAGAGCCATCACTCCAAGCTCCATCCCAGATACCCTTGCGAACCTTACCCCAAGGATTGCGAAGCTTGACCAAGCGCTGGCCAGACTTTAGAGTACGTACCTCCATGATGACATAGGCATGCCCTTCAGAGATGCCATTGCGCTCACCGTAGCCGTGCTCAAGAAGACCAGTAGAAGCGCCAAAGAGGAACTCATCGTTGACTCGCGACATCTCCTTGTCCCAGAACTCATCGATATCGAGAATATCAGACGTCAAGAGCTCAGTGGTAACTCCACCAGAGAGATCTTCGACACCCTCTCCATTCCAGCCACCCGCCAATGACGCATAGTCACCGTGAGCCTTGGCGTAGGCCTTCTCGAAGAGAGGAACCCAAGTCTCATTCTGATCTCTGCACTGCGCAAAGAAAAGAGCCTTGGAGCCAGTCTGATAGGTCTTGCGATAAACATTCTCGTTATCCTCACGATCGATCTGCTGCAGAAGATCTCTCTGCATGGAGGGGGAATCCCACAAGGGGGACTTGAGATAGAGTTTATCGTCGATGATGGAGTAGATCCATTCGCCATCTCGATAAAAGACAAAGCCGTAGATGCCGATCTTTGTGTCATGGGCAACGCAGATCCGCTGTAGACCTCCTGGAACATTGGCCAGAGCCGTTAGGCCAGCCATGATCCAGCAGTCTCCTAGACAGCCCTGCTTGACGTCACCACCACTAACCTCTCTCATGAAGGTCGGATTCTCAAAGATCTCGTGCACGCGCTTGACGGCCTTGGGAATAGCCGCCTTTGAGCTCAGAAGCGTTGTCCTGTTGAGCTCGAATTTCTGTGATCCCAGGTTATTCAAGCAGTGACCCTTCTCATACTTGAGATCCCAATCCTAGCAACGTTTGTTAACGCCAAATTCACACAGTCGGACTACAAACGGACGACAAACTCACCAAATCCCAACCAGGATCACGATATCGCATATTCACTCGCTTGCATTCTTTGATGATCTTCTCAACCTTGCGTCGACATTCCTCAACGGCTCGCTCGTAACCGGCCGATAAGAGCTCTTTGGAATGGTAGGTAGCAGGTGGTTGCACAGGGTCGAATGGGAGGACGGCGAGAGCCTTGTGAAACTTGCGCTTGGAGAACTTCTTCCAGATGCGGTTGATGCTCTTTTGAGGCGGGAGTTTCTTCTTTTTCTTCTTCTTCTGGTCGTTGTTGTTGGAAGCCGGGGCCCGAGGGCGACGAGGGTCGTCGGACTCCTCTGATGAGCTGTACCCGTGCATCTTGATATGTTATAAGAATAATCAAGTAGTGTTGGAAAGGAGCTAAGTACAATTCGGTATGACTTGTCCTAGACGAGAGCCAAAATAGAATCCCAGGAGTCAATCCCAAATGACGTGGTAAGGAACAAATGACCTGTGGTCATGGATGGATATTTAGCAACAAATGGTGAAGTAGGGTCGGAGATGAGAAGGGTACATATACCTCAATATTTGAGTGAGGAGACTACGAAAGGGCCAGGCCCTCACGTTCTTGTGATAGGATTTCCATCTAAGGGTTCGATGACAAGGCAACCAAAAGGCACGAAACTGGTCGCACAGCAGAGCCTCATCTCCCGCTCCTTGTTGCTGGCTTTTCACAGCTTCCTCTGCTGATTTCTAATTGAGGCCCCCTTGCTAGGGTTCAGGTGTAACAATGCGAACAACTGGTAGCTGCAATTGAGATCAAGTACGAAAGCTTTCTTGAACGTGGTAGCCTGATCCTGGCGTAGATCGCTCGTAACGAGGCAGCGAGCAAAGGCTCTGGGTTGAAAAAGAGGCGTACCAACATCGGCCGCATCTGCAGAGGCCAACCTTGCAAAGAGTCCACACACACGAGACCTCTGTGCCCCAGGATCCTGGGCCTCAACTTGGAAGCGCGCAACTGAGGCCAGAAGTGTAGGCTGGCCTTAGAGTCAGTGAGAACTATCAAGCTGTAGCTGCATTTATGACACAGCAAAGTTGTAGGCGTGTCGAGATGGATCATGATCTTCGAAGCTGTACAAACCCTTGAACGTGAATCTCTTGTACGCCTGTGTTATGTATGGCAAGTGGCCAAGTCACTGCTTTCAAGAACCCCCTGTCTAATGCTGACGAATAGGTACATGATCAACCAGCAAGAAGCTATTGGACTATGAAGCATCCTAGGTTTGCTCATGCTCAAATGGGGAAACAACGGAACGACAACAGGGCTCGAGGTATGCCACTCATGTCTTTTTTAGCCCAACTCCATCAATCCATTTACTCACAGTTCGTCTTGATTTCACTTTAAAAAATAAACAAGTGAAACACCAACGCTGTCTTGAATACTCGGTACAGTTCATTTCGAATAGAATCGGCCGTGAGTTTCAATACCCTAGTGAACTTGCGGATTGATCCTCAGGTTCGTCTCGACTAAAGTCGGTCATAAGGCTGAGATTTGAGCGAGCCAGGATGTACACTCTAAATGGTGCCACCCATCAATTCGGTATAAAGTTTAGCTCGTTTGATGCACGGTGTTTGGTGTGACTACCGTCTGTGCCGCTGGAGCCCTGCATGCCTGAAGGATGAGACAGCGGCCCGCTTAACGGATGCGGTTACCGTGTAAGGCACCCCACAATGGGCTTTGTCTGGGCTTGATGAAGGACGAGCCGACGAGGGCAGGGAGGCCGTGCTTAGCGCGGTACACCGCTGGATATGGAGATGCGTATCTCTTTAGGGGTGATAACGCTTATGGGTCCACGCGAAGAGGTAAGCAAGGGCTCATAGTAAATCGCTAAGCTAAGATAAGCAAATATACTGGTTAGCTGTCACGTCACCGGGCCCCACAAGCGTTATCGCCTCTAAGGAGATACCATGCTGCAATGTCGCCTCATTACCCTTGTACTTGAGTACATCCACAACCCCAAAATATTCAGCTTCTCGGCTACAAGAGCCGTATTGCTCCAGGACCCGCACTCCGTCTGTCCGGGCAATTGACCGTGATTGACAACGCCATTGACAGCTTTGACGCCGGGTGATATACACAGTGATGTATCAGGCAAACCACGACACAAGGCCTTTCACAGGCGACCGAGGACGATCAAGCCCGCGACTTGCCATTGGTTTGACATGATGTTGGCAAATTGTGTTGGTTGTAAACATTGGTATGAGGACCCAAATTCTGTCTAGATCTGTGCTCTGTGTCAGAGAGGGGAAAAAAAATCAAAAAAATCAAAAAAGCAATACTTAGTGTGAAAAACCACGACCTCTTTCTGCGGATAGGAAGTCAATCAGCTCCAAGGCTTGAGATTGAACTGTTGCTGTATTCTATGGGTAGGTAGTAGCACGGCTACGGGCTGAGCACACCGCTACTTAGCAATGCCAACTGAATCGAGCTTGGGCATGAATACGACAGATCAGTATCATCAAGCGAAGCATGTGAAACGCAAAGAGAAGACATCAGCGTCCTGCGCACAGAAGCGTAACGAGAGGAGGTACCTTGAGGCGTCTGCAAAGTACCAATAGATTAGGTGGTGACTGAGATTTTGAATGAACAAGGATTGTTCCATTTCCCCGAAGTCCTCCACAATAGTTTGCGTCCCATTGATAGCATCCGGAACAGGATGTAGGTCCGCACAATTGGTGGCGCGAAACGCCGAATAATGAAGATCTACTTGAGCTAGACGAGGTCCGTGTTTGTTCTAAATCCATAATGCAACGGGCCGTAAAGACGGGGCTGGTAGCCTACAAAATGGCTATCAAGGCCTTTAAATTGACGACCATGAACCCCTGAAGCGCCACATGCAGTTCCAAACCACTAGTAACCTCGATGCAGTGCACACCGCTGCTCGTAGCTCACCATTGATGGCGGACTTTGGCTGTTTGAAATGTAACCCGACAGGTCAGCGTCACGACTTGAAGTCCATAAACTTATGAAGCGCAAAGAGAGGATGCCAAGTACACAACAGCGGTGCGGTATGAAACAGGGTTCAGCCGTCTTACTCGGGTCGCCGCACAATTTGAAGGCTGAAATTAGCGCCCGCCGTCAACGAGCGGAACGGCTCCCGGACTGCCGGAGTGCAGGGCCCTGGTGAAAGAAGCTAAACCGAATGGCCCGTTTGTTGAAGGCCGGGGATGGGCTATTGACCAGCGTCTGTACGCATTGGTCTAGGTGTAGACTGAACCTCTTTTCAGCCTCCTGGGCGCTCTGGCAGGGACGATTCCGCGACCAAGAAGACCTAGCTGGCTCTTAAAAGAGCCACCTCACTTCCATGTAGAGATTTTTGTTTTCTCCGCTCTCGAGACAACGAGACTCAGTGGTCTTGTTTGCGAAATACGCCGTGGGCTGCTTGGTAGTGTCCTGCCCTTGTCCACGGCGTCATAGCGACAACAAAAAGAAACAGTACAACCCTTCTCGATTTTGTTACTACGATCAATCACTTGACTTACGATACTGGTAACGTTATGTATGAGGAGATTTCCTCAGTAATTATGATGTTGCACACGTACATTGAATAAAATTAATCCTCATTATGCATGTGAACTGGGGAATATGTTTCATCTCCAACTACTTGCGATTGGTCAACTCATGTTGTCATCTCCTTGCTCTCAATCTTTAATGCGCGTGGCAGAGCCATTGCTCTAAGTTGGAAAGCCGGCAGTCTTCCATGCAGTAGAGCCGTTCGAAATCTCAGATCTTTGATTCGCTCTTTCCATTCACCACAATTACATTTCCGTTGTACTGGTTACCAGGTCCGATCTTTAGAGCGTTGAAAATGAAAGTCGATCCCGAGGAAGTAGAACTGTGGGTATAACGTGTGTGTGCTCTTCCGTTGATTTCTGTGGCCTCTTTGTGTGCATCATTAGTGGCTTTGTTGACACAACTGTAAGTATTTCTCAGTACCCCTTCTAAGTGTTTTTTGACATCATGAGTATTGATACGATTCGTAGAAGAGGTACCCGCTGTGCCCATATCGCTTGGATGGTCAGATTGTGAGAAAGTCGCTTGTCATGGGGTTCGGCACGGTCATGGCCGCCGTGGTTGTTTTAAGATATGGACAAGGATTCAATTTAATGGGGAAGATCGGGAAGGGAATCCCTGAAAAAATGTTGAAGAAATCGAGTAATTCATCGGAAGTTGAACGACGAATTAATATAAATAGCGTGCTCGTGGAGATGGCTAACTTAGCAGAAGATGGTGGAGGGGAGCATTGCGGTATAAATACTAAAATTATAGTTCGTGTGACTCACTGTTACCGAGGTTCCGTGTATAAAGTATCGTAACACACAACTCGCAAAGTGGGTATAACGGCAGAGAGCATTGAGATCCAATCTCCGTTCTAGAGGCTGCAAGGCCGGAGGGATGAGAAGCCACATGTTGTGCGAGAGTCCTGGATCCCTGTGCTGCAGAAGTTAGAGAGGCAGTGAACATTGAGGCCTGACACAGCCCTGACGGTGAATTTACTAGTACGCACGTAAAGTACATGGCGGGAACCGGGATCATCGCATGCAACAAATGAGGCTCTGCAAAGGTATCATCATCTCGACGATGTGCTTTGGCCACCTTGCTAGAGCTGAGGTACAACAATGCGAACAACTGTTGGCTGCAATAAGGATCAAGAATGAAAGTCTTTTGAGGTCGAACGTGTTGATGCTGGCGTAGGTCACGTGTGACGAGGTAGGGGGCAAAGGCTCTGGGGTGGGAGAGAGGCATAGTAAGATGGGTCGCATCTGCAGAGACCAGGCCTTCATCCCACTGAGCTCATTGATGCATAAAGGCTCAGTGCGACTGGGGTCCGCCCACGTCAAGTGTAACGTCTCTGACAGTAGCATCTGAGTACACCGCTGTCTGACGATACAAACTTAGATGGCCCTGACCTGTGTAACAGGTATCGAAATGTCATTGTTACCACTTGAAATCTTGGAAGCGCAAAGAGAAGACAGCAGGGATGGGGCCCGGTCATCCGTCTCACTGCCCTGAACCGCTGGAACAGCTTCTGGGGTACTGGCCCCTGTTCGGTGAGCTAAAACTAATGATCTGCTAGTCGAAGGCGGGATACTGGTAAGCAATGAGCATCCGTGCGCACCGGTTCAGGCCCAATTCGAATCACTTTCCATCAAAATCACCCTTGTCACCATGATTCCGCGGGTGATGTGACGACGCCCCTGCAGAGCTTTTTGTTATCTCACCTGTAAGAAGAAGGAGGTTTGGTGGTCTTCTTTACGAACACGGAGCAAACGGAGTTCAAGTACGTATCCAAGAAGATACGTCTCACGCACAACGGGATGCATCATAGAAGCTGAGCCTGTGCACAAGAGAGGGTGAGGGCACAACAAGTATAATTCCTCATGAGATCTGGTTAAGCTAGAGTCATGATCTGCACGGCTCCTATTGGTCAAACACTTGCAAAAGTCCGAAGAATGGTGGCAAGTATCTCAGACCCTTGAGTAGGTAGGGCCAGGGATCAACTTAAGTTCCATAGTTTGGTGTGCTGAGGGCAGGAAGCGAGATTGCTCTCCTTTCGAACTTGATAACCATAGCAACCTCTAGGGCTTGATGGGACTGATCGACTGAAAAGCTCGCACACCCTGGCATCTTCTGACTCTTATGTCTATGAATAGTTGAACCCATAATTTAATACCACTAAAGCTGGCTGAACCTGAATCACTCTTGAACAACAGCGAGTACATCAATTCTCGACTTTTCACCAGCGAGCGCTTACTAATCTCATCATTCTACCACGAGCCATTATTCTACCGACGGCAATTCTCAGCTATCGTTTCATCCTTACACAAGCAGAAGCGCACCAAACTTTAACATCCTGCAATGGAGCAGTGAGAATCTGTCGGCATCAAGCCTTCTGCCCTCCCTGTGTATGTTGGCTAGCTGCACGGAAAAGAGGTTTATATAAAGAAACCTATGACCTTGGGACTATTCTGATTTCGCTTACAGAGCTTTAAACGATATACATTACCGTACTCCTAAACACAATGCCTTTCCCTTGTGATATTTGTGGAACGGTATTAACCCGGGAAAATAATCTCACTGATCACATTCGAATACATACGGGAGAGAAACCTTTTGTATGCGGCTGGAATGGTTGCGGGAAACGTTTCAGGACAGCAAGTGTCACAAAAGCACAGGACTCCAATGGGACTAACAAACATCATAGCGTGATCTTTGCGATAGGCATGAAAAGCGCCCTCATAAATGCGACGACGACGGAAGTGAGAAGAGGTACACCTGGCAGCATAGCTGATAGCTCACTTACTAATTTGTGACACAGTTATGGCAGAAAGGAAAACCTGGACCGTCATCGACGGAAAAAGCACCAGAAAGATAGGGATTGCAACGAGGTCGAGGAGTATGCCCCAGACTTGACGAACGAGTCTCTCTCTACGCCCCAGAACTCCTCTATGGCTGGACTCCCCCATAAGATGCCTTTCACGAACCCAAATTCCTCAAACAGGCTCGTATATCACGCTGATGTTGAATCGCAAGTCCACGACTACCGTATGCCACAACACCATGGCAACCAACAAGGGCCTCCCGCCAATCTTTCTTACGACTATCAAGATACTTTAGTTTCCGAGCAATCCCCAGACTTCCAACTATTCAATCAGCCATCCTATGTCACGGAGGTAGGAAATCCAGGTGTTGCTACCGTCACAAACCCCACATTAACTCATTATCAAATATCACAGAGATCAGAAAACCCTCTCACGGATACTTCTTGTTTGGCTCCAGAAATGACGACATCAACTCATGACTACCCGAGCACATTTCATGCGCCACAAGGCCACAACTCCATGCTCCCAGACAGCGCTGACTTCAATTCAAGTAAGTCAAGTTTAGGGGTCCAACTTGATTACTTGAAATAAAATCGTCCATGGACTTACTTAACTTGAATTGAATTGATATACTTGAAATGAAGGTGCTGACCTGAAGCTCTAATAAAGCTATTAAGCCTCCCCTCCCTCCCAACCTACCAAGTCCCCACCAAAGCTAACCACCTTACCCATAGTGATCGCTTGATGGCGTAGCCAGTTTCGTAGATACTGCATCTCCTCTATTATCTCGGGGCTTATGCTGTGCCTTTGCGAGCTTACTGTTAACTTAGTGACACTAAACGTCCGCTTAGGGTCAATAGATATGGCAGGAATTGCCAGGATATCGAGGGCAAACTTGCTTAGACGTGGGTATTCTTCTTAATAATCCTTCCACCATAGGACAGGGTTCAAGTTCTCTCGCCGCACTGGCCCTTGCCTTATGTAAACGCCAAGCTCGTCTTCTTCCTCTATTATGCACTGATTGCAGCTCTGCATCTACTGGTTAAATTGACTGGGCTCGTCTTATCGCACTGCTTTTCCTGTCACCGTCCTCGATGTCTTAGGCTGCTTCTCACGTGGATAGTGCTGTTCAAAGAATTCCTGGACACTGTTTTTAGTATCTCGTAGCCACACTAGTTGCTCATCGCTGGTCTAGTTCGCCTTAAGCTAAGACATGTTCCAGCGTGGGTAAAGAATAACGGCAGCCAGATAAAGTGGCAATTGGCCTAGTAGGCTATAATATTTATTAAGCTTTGACTAATAGTTCTTAATAGAGATCTAGATGCATTATCGGTGATTATTATTAAGATTCTTATCTTGTAAAACTATATCAGTGTATTCCTCTTAAGTATGCTATAGTAAGTATTTCTCTTATCTGCAGCCCTGCTTAATTCGTTAAGTACTAGATCCTAAGAAACTATTAGTTAAAGAAGCCTGAAGAGAACGAAGATAAATTAGGGGAGTTATACTTTTAGTTGCCGAGACCCTGAAATTTCTCAGCTTACTGATACTACTATCAGGTGATAAGAATATCAGGTTTTATTCCTCGAAGAAATTAAGCAAGTACTCTATTCTAATCATTACTTCCCACAAGGCGCCGTAGCATCCTTCTTTGGCCTAACCCTGGCACCTTATAGTGATCTTATGGAGCGGTTTAAGTAGACTCTATATCTCTGCTAATAGAAGCCAGTCCTATGGTGAAAGCTGATCTTGGATAGGCACCTGCTGTCGGGGCTCTGACGTCTTTGTTTCGAGATATACAATAAAATGGTCAATATGCTCTCGCTTTCGAATGGCACGCTGGATTATCAGAAAGGTTAAATTCTATCTGGTTTCATTATTTTGCATTAGCTTAAGGTTAATGGCAGCTTGCTCCTCTTTAAAGAGTTAATAGCCGTCTTCGTCGTTCTGGTTATAAGCCAGGGATTTTATTAGCTCTCTCTGTTGCAGGGAAGCCTTGACGAACTGGATGATGTTATACAGCTTGCCTACCGCTCCCTGTTTCTGCCAGAGCCGAAGCTCATGCTCTTTAACTTGGAAAGCCGCCTTGGTGAAGGCTTCTCGCTTAAATGAGTCAGGATCTTCTCCCTAGAGAAAGGCTTGAGCTGCAAGGTTAAGAATATGCCTAAAGCATCTTATTTAATGATTTCTAATATCTTCTTTCGCCATTGCAGGATAAAGTTGATGATAGAGGCTTGCCAAGTATATATCATTAGATAAGGCGTTATCGCAGACACCTGCGCCAGTCCTATCTTATATCCCATACTCGCCCAAGATATCATATATTGTTGCTGCTTGGTTATCTCTGGAATAAGATCCCTATATATGGCGCAGAGCAAGGAGTCGCGATTAGACTTAATAGGAGGCGTCGAGATAGTGGGCGTGAAGGCCAAGGAAAGCATACTGGTTTGGAGAAGTCCATAGGTTAAAGCTAAAGCTAATCCTTATGACTGCCTTCTGTAATTGACTTGATATTACTCCCTTCTTTACCTTGAATAATTTCCGCATAGTATTACGCACTGACTGCCAACTCTATGATACCTCTTTTACTAATAATATATTGTGTAAATCGAGTATTTGGCGTAAGTATGGATTCGATGGCGCCGTGAATGGAAGATTGGCAGTAATGATCCAGCTGACCATTAACTCCTTTGCTTTATTGATATTCGATCTTATAGTAGGAGACTCTAAGCAATGCCGCTTCGAGGGTGGGTGAATATCAGCGCGAGATAAATACGAATCTGCATCCATATTATCATCCGCCTCGGTGATCATATGAGACCTATATCTCGTAAGACAATAGAGAAGTAATAAAGATCAGGCTCATATAGATATCATTTACCTTCAGAGGTGCTTAATTGGCGATGTTATATTTATGGCGACGAATAATAAGCTCTTGCCTTGTTTATTACATTTCAAGCATACCTAGTAGGTCTGCAATATCTGCAAATCAGGGCTGACTTCTATAAGAAAGAAGCCATGGGCTTGGATCCAGCTCCTCTGACCTTTGCGATTCTTATTAGCAATGTATTCTTCTGGTATATATTTCTTATAGCTGATCTGGATAGTTGGGAGGTCGGCGAGGGTTGTTCTTCCAGCTTTAGTCTTAATAGATGCAGCATCAAGCTGCTGCTTAAGTGATTTGCGATGGCCACTAATTCCTAGAAGCGATTCTAACGACTGTTATTGTGCTGCTATAGCGGGTTACCAGCGAATCGCGGAATACAGATGCTTCTTATCAGGGAGCGATGTTAATTCTGAACCAGGTGTTTCCAGCATGCGAGCAAATGCAAAACATGTAGTTGCGCCACCCCTGCCGCGTTCCTAGGTTCCATTGGTGTAATCAACTGGGGTACTACACTTAATTGATTACCCTATGCCTAGGACTCCGAACAGCCTCGAAACTCATAGGGCTATCGCATAGGAAAATCTATAAAATCTAGTATTTCAAGTAAATCAAGTTTGAAGCATTATAAACTTGCTTACTTGAAATAAACTGGTTTATCGACTTACTTGACTTACTTGAAATACTTGACTTAATACTTGAATTGAGGTCAGCGCTGGAAAACACTCAGCTTTGCGGTTGGAGAAAAGGTAGTGCCCTCCGGGCTCATAACCTGTTGAAGTAAAAGGGTTGATTGTTGTTATTGTTAGTTCTAAGTTACATATGTCTGAGAGGAGCACAGCTCCTTACATAGTATCCACATCCTAGCCACCAGCAGATCAGACCACCTTAGCCATACTGTCTCAACACATCCTACCTACAAGAGCCCTTGACAAGGCACCATTGTTTTGCACAAGCTCTTGGAACTTATCATCCTTCCAAAGA